GAATTGTTGATTATGGACATTCATAGATTAAATTAACTTTTGGCTTCATTTATTAGGATTATAGTGTATGTGTTGGATATATTGAACATTGCAATTGTATAAGTGATTTATCGTGCCCTTAATTTAGCATACATATTGTTCTGAAGGTTAGAAAAATGCCGTACTTTTATTATTTGACTTTCCAAGCCTAAAACTGGAAAATCAAGTATATCTCTACATCAAAAACTATTCTGTGACTAGGTTATGTGTTAACTTAGAACAAAAATGTAGTTAATACCGTGACCCGTCAAAAGCGCGGACGACAAAAGCACGATCGACAAAATCGCCCCTTTGACGTCATCACAGCGCGACGAAAAAGATCGAAAAATTCAAATAAAAATTAATAAAAATTAAATTAAACCAAGCCGATTCACATAAAGGTAAGGGTTAGGGTTAGGGTTAGGGTTAGGTTAAAGGTTAGGGTTAGCTTTAGAGCATTAGCGTTAGCGTTAGGGTTAGGTTAAGGGTTAGCGTTACGTTTTTCGTTACTTTAACGGTTAAGTTTAGGGTTAGGTTAAGGGTTAGGGTTAGGTTTAGGGTTAGGTTTGGGGGGCTTAGGGTAAGGTTTTCGCTTTATTTTTACATTTTTCTAACTTTTTCGTCGCGCTGTGATGACGTCACAGCGCGCTTTTGTCGAGCGCGATTTTGTCCTACGCGCTTTTGTGGTGGAACCGTTAAGACATAATTTTGTTTTATGGATGAGATCAATATCAATCGATCTAAGTAGTTACATTGGGTTTTTTGTGTGTTTCTTCATTCTATCTGGTAAATCATATTCAGGTTTTTAAAAATGAGAACTTCTATTGATATAGCAGCTGCATTCATTTTTGAAAGATAATGATCTTAATATTATTCATATTCTGGGAACTTCTGTTTTAACCATAGCAATGTGCTCTAGGTGGGGTTACACTTATATTCAATGTGAATATTTAAGTTGTTCAAAACTCAGCAGCGAAGTTGACCTTGTGAAGAATGTGATGGGACTACATAAAATCTGTTGGGTTTTTTTTGTTTTGTTTCTGGGTGAAATGCAAAGTTGTGTGCTTGTGTATGCTTGTGTGTGTGCAGACATGCATGCATACGTGCATTTTTGATTATGGGTGATGCATGGATTACTTGTAACCGATGTAGTTTTTCTTGGCAAGGTTTTTTTTTTTTTTTTGAATGGTTTGCCCTTGACTCCTTTCTTGGACTGAGGGAGAGTGGTTGGCTTAAGGTCAGTCAGCTGGCTTCAAGTTTAAGGTGGGAGCAGAACTCACAACCTCCTGGATTCTAGTCTGGTACCTTGATCACTACATCAAATTGACTCTTGTTTCTGAGAAAAAGAATACAGTAAAATATTTTAAAACCTCACATGGCACATAAGGCTTCTTAAGATAATATTCTTTCTATAAAAAGCTTCATGCTTACTAAGCCTTCTCTGTTGCCTTTGGAACATACTCCCTGTAGAGTTACGGAATTCAAACATCTATTTTCTTTTCTAAAAGATCCTTAAAATGCATCATTTTGTGTAGGCTTCCAGTTGTCGATTTTGTTAATTTTAATTATTTGTTTACTTTTTTTGCTTGGTTTCTTAACAATTTTTATTATCATGATTATAAATGGCTTTTTTTTTTAAATTGCAAACTGCTAAGAGCAGTAGGCAGAGATAAATCAAATTAAGGAAATAAATAAAACCAAAATTGTATGTTTTCCTGGCAGCTGTAATGGCGAAAAGAAGAAGATACAGTGTAAACAAACAAGATGTTGCAGTTCTTGGGGGAGGAAAAAAGATTGCTTTGGGACCAGAAGCCAGATGGGAACAAAGTGCTATTCAGAAATGCTGCATTATTTTGAAGGAAGCAAAGCAGAAGAATCTTTTCTCTTGGTTCAAATCAGCTGTAGAAAAGATAGAGAAAAAAATCCTTCAGCCTCCAAACTCAGTCTACAATACATATCATGCAAAGCTTCAGTCCATGTTCCAAAATTACCTGGGAGTATCTCCCACTATTCTCAAAATGCTTGCATTTGACTATAAAGGATTCCTGATGCATAATAAACTATGACTAGGCTAGCTTATTAGAGTCTCATTTTATTTTTTTGTCTTGCATTGCAAATATCTTGATCTCTGTACTCATGTACCATGTTTTCCCCAAAATAAGACAGGGTCTTATTTTCTTTTGACCCCCCAAAATCGGCACTTGGAAGTCTTATTATTTTTGAGGTGCAGGAAGTGGTGAGCGTGGTCATCTCATGACTGTTGCTGTGGTTCAATATTGTTGGAGAGGGCTTATTTTAACACAGGTGCTCAAAAGCCCCCGATTGGGCTTATTATTGAAGAAGGTCTTATTTTCAGGGAAACAGGGTAATATATTGGCATTGGACTGAATTTTAACGGAATTATCCATTTTATTTTGGGGAAAAAAACAGCAAAAGCCAAAGGCTTCTGGGCTTTCAGAAAAGAGAAGAGATGATCAAATGGCTGCAAGGAAGAGAGGCAAAATCTGTTATGACAGTACAATGTTTTAGGTTTGATTAAAAAAAAGGTACTTTCACAATGCATAGACTTAACAGTCTGCAACTCCTTAAAGCAGCCTCACCTTTTCTGGGATTGTGTAGAATTCTTGGCATAATTTTGTTTGGTTTAAGAGCAAAGTTAAGAATATCAAGATGGATATTCATAGAAAAAGGAAATACTCTTGAGCAAGCTTTATTCCTGGTTACTTGAGGGACTCATATCCATGTAGATTTCATGGCACCAATACAAAAGTGGTTTTCTGTTACATTCTATAATGTTTCAACATTTCAATCCAGTTTGCAGTCTAAATCCTTCTTCTTAATCTCCTGTCCCAGTACTAACCAGATCTAGCTCCTCTTTAGCTTTATGAGATCAGCCAGAGGTGGCTAGTTATTTCTACTTAGCTAGCCTTTACAATGCTTCAGTGAAAAGCCATGTTTTGCAAATTTTAGAACCTTGACTTACCACAATTCTTCATTTAGTGACTGTTCGCAGTTACAATGGCACTAAAAAAGTGACTTATTATGACCATTTTTTTACATTTACGACCATTGCAGTATCCCCATGGTCACATAATCAAAATTTTTGGCAACTAGTTCATATTTAAGATGGTTACAGTGTCCCGGAGTCATGTCATCCCCTTTTGTGACTTTCTGACAAGCAAAGTCAATGGGGAATCCAGATTCACTTAACAACCGTGTTACTAACTTAAGAACTGCAGTGATTCACTTAAACATGGCAAGAAAAGTCATAAAATAGGGAAAACTCATTTAACAAATGTTTTACCTAGCAACATAAATTTTGAGCTCAATTGTGGTCATAACTCGAGGACTACCTTCATAAAGGGCAGTGAGGCAAACAGCTCATGGAAAGTTAAAGAATCTTAGAATTGTCAAATGCTTGTATTTGCACAGAAATTTGGTATGAAAGTTTGATATCATGACTGGTTCTATTGGTGATATTCTTACACTGATAACACCACAGAATAGAGTTAAAATAGGAAAAAGATTTCTAAGTGGGCTCTCCCTTCCTAAATGTGTTTAATTTAGAATGACTTCCTCAACTTTTTTATGAAGTACCCCACTCATGGAGCAGCAATTAGTAATTAAGCATAGGTTTTAAAAATATGGAAATAGTCTGCCTAAGAAACAGCTTCATGTCAGAATCATTGTTTGGAATCTCTATTTTGTCAGGTACTGTATATCTCCACTCCCAAAAGTTTATATCATGAGCAATCCTAAGCCCTTATCTCAAAACTAATCATCAGTGAATTCTATATGCTATATTTCTAGAAAGCATGCTTCAAGACTGAAATGGAAAATGTTTACCATTTACATTTCAATTATAGAGCACATTTTTTCCCTTTCTCAGATGTAACTGGAAATGTGTATATTTTTTAAAAAAACTGCTCTTTTATTAAAGGTATTCAGACCTAGAAATAGCCGAGATTGGCTATGGCTTGTCTCAGTTTGTACTTATTCATTCCTCCATGCAGTTCTATTTCTATCTCATTTTTTGCTATTTCTGAGCCTGTCACAGCTGAAGAAGGGCCAGCTTTTCTAGGAATGTAGAATTGAGATTCATTTCCTACAAGCAGCTGGCAAAACCTGAAAACCTGAAACTCTTTTTCAAACATACTTGAACACAAGAAGCTGCGTGCCAGATATATTTTCAATTCTTGCTATTGTATACCAGTTAGCGAAACAATATTTTATTCCAGATGAAGCAAAATTGTGTAAATTCTTGAAGATATGGATAAAATTTTAAAGCCCCATTCAGTAAAAAGTAAAAGGTAAAGGTCCCCCTCGCACATATGTGCTAGTTGTTCTTGACTCTAGGTGGTGGTGCTCATCTCCGTTTCAAAGCTGAAAAGCCAGCGCTGTCTGAAGATGTCTCTGAGGTCATGTGTCCAGAATGACTAAACACCAAAGGCACATGGAATGTTATTACCTTCCGTGATCCCTATTTTTCTACTTGCATTTTTACATGCTTTCGAACTGCTAGGTTGGCAGAAGCTTGGAAAAGTAACGGGAGTTTACTCCGTTACGCGGCACTAAGGATTCGAACTGCCGACCTTTCTGATCTACAAGCTCAGCGTCTTAGCCACTGAGCTACCAGTCCCTCTCATTCAATAGGGCAAGTCCTCCCCCCATTCAATAGGGCAAGTTTAAGAAAGCGTAAACCATTTTGAGTGCAGTAAGATATTTTGCTAATCTGAGATACATGCAGAATCTTCGATAAATTAATTTTTGTATTTGATTGAAAGAGAAGATAGAATTGAAGTCTGGATTAATCTTAGGTGGATTCACTGAAATCAATCAAATTTAGTTGTATTTAATCTGTGTTCTTATTCAATGTACAATTAAGACAAGATATAACCTATATTTCTGATTGAAATATATAATACACAGGTATGCACACACCTACATGCTCTTACCTTTTTGTATTGCCTTTTGTTTTTCAGAGAGAGACCAAAGGCCAGTTTCTTATAGATCATGTTTGCAATCACTACTGTTTGTTAGAAAAAGACTATTTTGGCATTCGCTATGTGGATTCTGAAAAACAGAGGGTATGTATACAAGTTCTCTCATAATTTATTTTAAGTGATGTTATTTCAGTGAAACTGCTAGCTAGTATTTGAATTTGAATTTGAATTTATTAAAATTTATAGGCCGCCCTTTTCCCTGAGGGGACTCAGGG